TCCCTTTTGAGCATGAGAAATTTATCTGTGTCTTTATCTTGGTAACTTAGCTACCCGAAATCGATTTATCTAATATCGTAGTGTAGCAAAAGAATTTTTAAGTTTGCCTTTATGCATATGTCTTAGCATACATTATTGACCAAACAACTATACCACTTTTAAACATATGATATGGAAACAAGCATTCTTCTGTTTTAAATAATTTATAATAATTTTATGGTTATCACACTGCTTTCTTTTTCTAATAGTTGTGAAATAGCATAAATTTTTTATATATTTTCTATTGTTCACAGTTTGATTCACATAGATCGCATTTCCTACTAGAGTTCCTGAGGAATTCTCAACGTTTCTTAATATTGAAGTTTGTTATTGCACATATCAAGCCAGAAGAGGCTTAAAATGTAGACTTAAGAAATCGGAAGCATTATAATGTTCTCCAGGACCCAACACGACAGTCCCCCCCAGTATCTCAGTTTTAAATGATTTATCTTCATAATGCAAATGATGATGGATTCATAATTACTAGATTACAATAAAAACAAGAAATGAGTATTATGATAAAATAACACGCCGAACAAGTATTAATTTAGAAGTTAAACAACAAAAATTTCCGTGCTCTTCAAGTTTGCTCCCAGATTGGATTAAGAACTAAATTATTTAAAAGCAGTAAACGCAGTAGCTATTGACAGGGGTTTTTCACCCAACATCAAGCAATTACAAAATTCTTATCTCAACACACCAAAAAGCACACTGTTATAAGAGATTATGAGAATTCTGTTGTCATTCCTTTCTTTCCATAAATTAGCTATAAAACTGCACGTATTTTACAGAAATTTAACTTTCCGGTCGTTTATCCTCCTATCAATAAAATTCTGAGTTCCATACTCAAAGACACTATTCCGGATATGAATTCCTGGGGTATTTACAGTATTCCTTGACAGTGTGGTTTAATTTACATTGGTCAAAGAAAGAGAGCTTTAAAATTTCGCGTTAAGGAACATGAAGCATATGTTAGAAAAAAGGAGGCACAGATTTCCTCTGTTGCCCAGCATCGTTGGTCCGAAAATCACACTTTCAATTTTCTGCAGCCAAAATTATTCAAAAAACATCTTCCATTGATGAATTAGATTTTCTAGAGACATTTCACATTCATAAATCACAGACACACGTTTCACATTCATTCATTCTGTTAGTTAGCGACCCTAATTCCAATTCACCTTTGCCTTCAGCCTTTAAATTATGTTTTAGTTCTCGTTTCATTAACAGATGGCGCCAGTAGCTTATTCTTTTGTCCAGCCATTCTTATCTTATCTAAACAGTACATCTTATCTTGTTCATTTGCGCTTTGGCAGCTGAGGATGATGGTTCGGTAAAACCATCGAAACTAGTCCTGAGAAAATTTGTAAATATAACGCTGATTTTTGTTGTTTGACTTCTAAATTAAGAAATTAATACATAGAAATCTAATAAGATGCTATAGATACGATTAAATTCAGAAAGAAAATAAAAAAAGACTGGTAAGTTTTATTTTCGAAAATCTTTCTGCTTTGTTTGTTGATTTTAATTCAAATCGTTATTTACGATTACTTATATACAACTTGGTTATTGTTTTAACTTTTGAAATGCAATATACACAAATATAAATTTATTTCTTGTATACATTTTTATGCAGGAAAATTTGGGTTCTTTCGGATTTACTTCATGTGCTGTTCTTTAGCCATTTGAACATGGTTAACTAAATGAATAATTCCTCAAATTCATTAACATACATTGTTAAGAATTAGTTTCGTAGAGAGATCTTTAATAATTACTTCGACTGAAAAGCGAGAATTTGATACTTGATTGAAATAATTCATAACTGGTAAAGCTGGTTATAAATAGCTCAATGGGAGTGATAGAGATAGGCAGTTTTTAACGTTTTTCCATAGAGTGTTGCCATGCTCGCTTTAAAATCGTTGACTTTGTTAATAAAAAATTCGTTAAAGTTTTACAAAATATGAAATAGATAATAAAACAAATTCAGAATTTGGGCTTTCAGATGCCCATATGCGAGTGGAGGACTACGCTATTCAAAATTTGATGTCTCTAGGTACAGTTATTCTTTCACAATGCGAGAAAGATACATAATAATAATGTAGATTCTTCATTATTTAATTTCTTTAAATATAATACATTGCTGTTATATTTAGTGGCAACAATCTGAAAAGTGAAACGCCATTTTATGGTGTATGACGCAAAATGCCAAAACTAAATTAATAGCCCTTCTGGGCAAAATTGCCCCTTTGGGCTAAAAAAACACTTGTTGCCGCTGAAACGTATGACAAGTTGACCTTAATAGTTCTTAACCTTTTCTGGTGAAGAAGCTTCATAATGAAAAACAAACATTTCTTTCGCTTTCCGAATAATATCGAAGCCTTCAAGAATGCTCGTAGCTTTTCAACAGCAGCTAGATGTGCTAATTCTTACAGGTTTTCTTCTTTCACTTACAAAGTAATATTAATTTTATAATCCCTTTAAATCGCATCTGTAGTAAAATATTAAAAAAAAATAAGTAGACAGGAATCAGGTTTAAAAAATAGCAACTGTTTCCAAGTCTCATTTAAAAAATTAAAATTCTTGGGACAAAGTTCCTTTAAATTTTTTCTGTAAAGATTGGAAATTTCTATAAGACACATAAATTAATTAATTAACCTTTGATTGACTGATAATGACAATAATTTCCCCAAACAAAAGGGAAAGTGGATGCAGTAAGAGTGATAAGGAAGCTTTGTTTTGAGTTCTTTTGAGAATTTTGTTTTGAGTTCTTTTGAAAGTTCTTTTTAATAATGTACCAGTTGACTTCAGTCTCAGACGAGAATTTTCTAATTGTATTTTTGTGTTTTATTTTTCAAAACTCATTAATCCAAGGGAAAGTGTAAGTATTTTGAGGGAGAAAATTCTGTGTAGTTTTTTTCTTTTTGTTATTTTTTTCGACTTTGATATTTGATTGTAAGACTTGATATTTGCATCTAATGCTAATACTTGAATTTAATTATTATTCTTTCATAAATTAAATCATTTTTATTGCACATTGATGTGCAATACAAACGAATTTGTTTTGCGAATGCACGAAAAACCTTTTATCTACAAATTTATTAGAATAATGATAAATTAATTTAAATTTAAGTAAAATACCAAATTTTGAATTTTTGATCATTTTAGCGTTTTTTTCCACCCCCTTTTTTACTTTTGTATTTTTTTACAGAATAAAAATTTCAAAGGTAAAAATAATTATATACAGTATAAACTGATGTATAATTTCAAAATGCCGTTAAAAATCGACTGTGTTTTGTCTTTTAAAAAATGTCAGAAACAGATGTAGATACTTAGATAATGTTTTGAATTCACAAGTACTTTTCCAATCCCTTTAGAATTCGATTGATATCTCCAAAAATGATGCATCAATTCATTTTTTCGTATAACATTTTATATATTTTCCGTAGAAGTAACATATGAACAATATCATATGCATATATCCTTAAAATTCATATTTTGGGGACAGGTGCTGAGATTCAAATACCTCATATCTGCAATAAAGACCATTATCAGTGCAGGATTTAAATATAAGCTACGCAGGCTATAGCTTAGGACCCCCGCTTTCTTGCCCCCCCTCCAAAAAAAATTAAAACATAGAATAACAGATTTATAAAGGGCCCTATATCTAAAATATCTATAGGGCCTTATTAAGTGTAAATCCGTCTCTGATCATTATCCACCGACTTCAACTGCAGTTTGATTTTGTTTTTATGTTTTCTGTTCCATAACAACCCAGTTAAAAATGGAACTGTTATGATATAATACAAACATTTTATGTAGCTCTCTTTTATCCTTTTTTTGGGAGGAGAGAGGCATTTGTATTTTATGAACATAATACAAACAAAACCTTTACTCTCATTTCTATCACTGCTAGACTTTTAAATCAAAAATCAAAGCCTAACTGAAACTTCTGTCATTTCGACCCTTTTCATATACTTATGTTACTCCGTAAATTAAGCGGGAGGTTTTTTCCATTTGATTCACAGATACTCTTCCACTGTATTTGTACTGCACATAATTTCTAGATTGCTGCTTAGTAACTACTAGCTCATTTTTTTCTTTCGAGTTTTAATTTGTTTGAATTTTTCCTTTTGGTTTCAACGTTAAAATATGGGAAACCACAGAAAACCTATATTTACTATAAATAATAAATAATTCAATTATTTTTTCGCTGAAACAGGTAATTTAAAAAATTAAAAAATTAAATAAAGTAAATGAGCTATTAAGCAAGATCTTCAGATAATTAATATTATGTTATACAATTAATTTAAATAACACCCGTTTGAGCATTTAAAGAAAATTCTTACGTCAGACAATAATTTTGAATATGAATTTAGTTAGTTTAAATTCTTAAAATTTTCTATGTCAATAAATTTTAAATAAATCAAAGATATCCAAAAACGATTATTAGTAATAACAATTTCAAAAACTTTGTTTTTTTTAATTAAAACAACTAATTTTTAAAATCAATTCTGGTCGGATATTAATGAAAATAAATGAGTTATTACATAAAACTGGAAAAATGTACGAATTATTGTAGATGAAGACTATTTGGAAATAATAAAATTAGACGATTTTTTTTTATAAACGTTGGGCACTGGGAACGTTGGCTGGTTAAGTAGATATGATGAGTATTACCTGATTTCCAACTCAATTACATGCTTGTATTACGAATTTTATTTCCGGTACATGCTTGTATTACGAATGATCATACTCGGGATGACTTATCTCTGCTTAGGAAGCGGGACTGGTACGAGCTCTCACTGTAGCACGAGTGAAAGGAACAATTACTTTGGGAAAGACCCCTCGAACTTAGACTAGACGATTTTAAGGAGACGCGACCAGCCACAAGCTGCGCTGCAAAAAAACCGGACTGGAGAACTCGGTTTCGAAGCGATCTACAGAAGTTGTTGGAAGTGCAGCAGAGGGTTTCCTAAGCAATGCTTTCACTCTCTTCACCACGCGCAGCAGCGTTTAGTGCTTTGTGAGTAAATCGTTAGCGGTGCACACATGTGTTAACCGATGTAAAGCGTGAGTATTAACAAAGAAAGTAGATCCACCTTCGGAGGAATGTTATGGTTTCTTCTTGGTTACCTTGACGACCGATTCAACGGCTTGGCTTCCCGCCAGAGCATCTTGAAGCGGTGCGATTTGAAATTTTACAGTGAAAAGTTTTTGAAATATTTTTTATCACTTCGTACGGTGAATGATCACTTTTTAATTATGTGTACAGTTTTCACTGTGGGAGAATAATGTGTGTATGTTGTAACTGGAATACGTTAAATTGAAGTAAGTGGTTCTATTCATGATTATCAGTTTCAATTTTTCTGAAGTTATGAAATACGACTATGTTGTTTAGACGTGATAATTTGTATTTAACCATTTAATGCATGATATTTTGTTTTAAATTTTAAAATGAAAATTAACTTCTGAATGATAGATTCATGCAAAATATGGAACTAATATAAAGCTCTAATAACTCTTTAACATTTTATGAAATCTTAAATGGATATTTCATCAATGTTATCAGATGTTATCGCATACCAATCGAAGAACGGGGAAAAATCATAAAAATTATATGAAATACTTAATATCGCTAAGTAGAAACGCAGATAGGTCTAGTTCGAATGAAAAAAAAAAGATTTCTAACAGAATTAGCAATGTGATTTACGTTTCGTTCTGTCGTCAAAAATAATAGTTCTAAATTTCATACACTATATAATCCTATGTTTCAAAATTTATAGGAAAGGCGCAATCGAAAAGAAAACCTATAACTGGATATTATAGAAACACGATTTTTGCACCAATAAACACACTAATAATAAATGTAACTTTTTATGAAATGGTGAAAATGATCCTTATAAATTTTAACAATCAAAAACAAATGAAGAATTTTATCAGAAACCTTTTTGAAATTTTACAAAATTTTATGTTATTTCAATTAAAAATGATTCCTGATGGCTACATAAGCAGTACATTAATAGAGCTAATATTAATGTCACGCAAACAAAAATGCGCGTTATTTAAGATAATTTGTAACGTAAAATTTATTTTTTTTCGTAGATTTCCTAAGATGATAATCAACGATGGTTGCTCCCACATAATCTACTACATTTAAACCATGTAATTGATTCCGTAGTGGGTGCTAAACTAAATTTCTGTTTAAAGGGAAAATATTAGCAAAAAGCAAAAAGTTAATTTTTTTAAAACTCATTCAACAAATGTTTTAAGCTTAACATTTGTTGGTTGAACACGGTAAGTTCTAGATTTGTATTATGACTGCCATCTGCCCCGAATGGAATGATATCCGAGACATTCAGCTTGCAAGATGTACAATTCTTTTTTATCATTTCTCTATATATAAAGAAATAATCACCGTATTTGCTTCAGAGCAATGATGCTATCTGCTCTCTCTCAGAATAGTGTAAAAAAAGTATTCAAGCGTGTATTATATACTGTTGGTTTCACTGGGAATACATAAGAGAACAAACATCCTGCTAGATAATACTAACAAAACTAGTTATTTGACAAGGAAAGCGGACGAAAAAAACATTTCATGATGGATTTATATGATCAATCATACGTCGGGACTGAGGTTACTGACAAACGGGTTTCTGAAAATCTCAATTTTGTATACAATTTAGCTACATACGCACAAATCTTTCGGAGACTAAAATACTAAGTTTCAATGTCTTTATTACGGGAGTCAGTACCTTTGCAAATATAACCAAGCAAAAAATGAAAAAAAAATTGAAGGGTATAATTTAAAAGATTTGTACTGTATTATAAATTCATATAAATAATTTTAGTAAGCATAAAAGTCATGAAAGTCACACCAAAAAGTCTAATGATCCCTCTGATAGCAATCGATCTGAATAAACTCCGGTTTTCTATAAATTGGATTAGGGGAAAAAAAAACAATTTGGCAACCCTTATTGTTAAATTGCGATTGATGGATCTTTGTGCTACTTGCTAACAATTAAAATGATTTTTTAAAATAAATTATTAAATAAGAATGAATTAACATGCTGTTTTCTTTCTAAAATTAAGAATTTAGCTGTAAACTGCCCTTTTTTATGAATTGTTGCATCGTTATCAGATATTTATGCATTTCACATTAAATATTTAATTAACTTACTTTGGATTTTTTTCTGCTTTCGATAAAACTTGTGAATTCAAGATATTTATATATAATTACATAGTATTATTTAGAAATTTAAAAAAAGATGTGCTCTGTCATAAACGTATATTCTATGACAACTTTAAATAAGAGTTAAAATATTAATCACATAGTTTAAGCATCTTATTAAGGACGCGGGAAATTAAAGTTACTCAATTTGTTATAATATGGTAATTTGAATTAATTATTGAAACAGCTTTTATCTTATCAACATAATAACTGCTAGTTTTGTATGCATGTGAAAAAAATGGAATTTTTAGCCCTTAATTATTAGATTAGCCTTTTCCTGTGAACTATAGAGACTAAATTATTATGTATTAAAGCACTATTTAAATGTTCAATCAACAAGTAACAGAAAAACAAATAAACGTGCCCTGCCATTTCATGCTTCGTATAAAGTAGCAAATTTTAAATCTCAATTAAACAATTTTTTTAACCTTATTTAATATAGTGAAAGCTTGGGACATATATGTTTCAGATCCCAGGAGAAGGTTAGTAGTTTTTTCAATATTAGAATACGTTATCAAAATCCAATGTATTTTAATATGTCTTAAATTTAAATAAAGGAGAGTTTATATACTGAATTATGAATATATGGTATATTAAGTTTTATAAATCGAAATTGAGAACCTTTTTTATGAAAAAAACCTGAAAATTCTAGAATTCTGTTTGAGTTCGAGTTACAGACAAAATAATTTATTTAAATTTTCTTTTCAGTTGATAATAATGATTATTATGTAACGATTTAATTTGAAATTCTGTTATTTCACATAACTTCCGAAAATATTAGAATCACTTTTTAGTTTAATCGGAATCAAGTGTTATTTGTGATTATTGCATAAGATGTTTTCAGTTTAAAGTTTTAGTTTTGCTGAGTTTTCTTAAGAAACGACCTAATCTAAAAAGGCCTTATTTAAAAAAATCTCTAGTGTCGTAAGAAAAATTAATATTCTATCAAGTGAGCTTGCATCAAATTAAAAAATATTATAAATTTGAGGCTGATTTGCTCTATTTATATACACTTCATTCCTGCTTGAAGGCTTATGAGAATGCACAATCAGTTCAAAAATTTTAACTCATTATGTACTTTTTACAAATGTTTGTATTTTAATTTTCATTTCTCAGTAAAATCTGGACAAAATTTATCAGGTCTTTCAGAAATCCTTCATTTGATAGAAGCGTAAAGATGAATAATGCGAAAGAACTGTTACCATTTATAGAATAATAAATGTTAATTACTGTGCCATTCAGATATACACAGATTAGTTAGCTGATTAATGCCATCTCTCATAAATCATTTCATAAAAAATTATACTCATAATTGTTCTTTTCTGAAGTATACCTAATAAAAATTTAAATATTTTCGAGATTTTTATATTCTGTGCCTGGAAATTTTAGTGCGGAACTATTGGTTGTCAAGTAGTGAAACGAGTAAGGTTATTATTTTCAAGGTGAAAGTATATTCACCTGGGCAATTGATGCGCCAGAGGGAAAGTTTTCACTTTTGTTGGATATCTGTTGCTGAAAATAAATATTTTATCGATGTATTTCTTTCATCAGAAATGCATTCTTGTAAAAGTATTGGTTCTAGTGTAGAATTGGGTGCCCCTTTGTTTTTTGTGCCATTGCCAAAATTTTGTTAAATTTTGGCGATGAAACCTCATTTTTGGTTACCATGATAGTATTAACTTTGTTTTAGTTTCCTGATTTTTTTAAACGAAAATAGATTGATGTGTACAAAGTTAAAGCAGTGCGCAGTGCATAGTTTGTGAAATTCTCTGATTTTTTTAAGTGAAAATAGATCGATGTGTACATGGACACAGAGTTTGTGCAATTATTTGATTTCTTATTTTGGTTTTGTGTAGCGGCCATACTGAAATTATGCCTTTCTGGCGCCGACCTTCGCGTCAAAAACGAATTTCGCCAAAAACCAAGGGACACCCTATTGTAAACTTTTAGCAAAGTATTTTCTTCTTCAAATTTTACAACTGGTAATTCCAAAATATTTATATTTACTCGTGAGATCGGTGAACTTTGGGCAGATTTGAAAATGATATCAAGATTCGGACATTGCTCACCACTTGTCTTCTGAGCGCTAGATGGTAGTGAACTGGGAACAGAAAAAATGTGAGCTATAAAAATTCGTTTTAATGACATTTAGGCCGATAGCGCTCTAAGCAGGAAGAGTTCCGCGCACATATGAGTATAAATACATTTTTTAAATTTAGGAAGAAGTTAGTGCTTTCATTAATGGCGAGAATCACTTCGATTCTTAAGATGCACTAAAACTTAATGAAATCAATGAATTCAATTTTTTAACTGCATCAGAAACACGCTAAATAGGCTGAAATCATGTGGTTCTGTAAAAAATTAGATGACCTGTATTCATTTCAGAATGTTAATGAATTTTAATGCAATGTACAGTTTTTTGTTTTGTGTTTTCATTATTTCCTTGTACGACATAAAGGAAGAATAGTGAAAAATTCCCTGTATCATAGTTCAACGAAAATATCTATTTTAACCTCTCTCGAATCCTTATGAAAGATATTTTTACGTTGTATCCGTACATACGGGCAGAATAAAGGACTCTTTTTCCCAAAACGGATCGTAAAATATATTTAAAACAGAAGATATTTTCTTTGTGACGTCTGTACGTACGTAAACTCCCTCTTATAATAATAATATATTCCGATTAGAAGATTGCATTTCAACCGCCAATTTCTTACTACTTCTTAATTAGCAATTTCAATAATTTTAACTCAGTCTTACTAAACAGCTATTTAGTCTTGATTCTTACTTGAGACAAAGACGAAACACGTTCGCATCAATTAATTATTGTTAATTAGTTTATTGCTATTAATTTATTAAATTATTTGTTTGTTCCCCTTGAAAAGTCAACAAATGTCCGGTCAATGGCGATAATTACTTAGTTTGTTGGTTGCACTTTCGCTTTTAATTATTCCATTTTAATAATTCAATTTTAAATATGCTAATGAGTAAATTCATTTCAATAGAATTCTAACTTAACTATTTCATTTTCAAACGAAATGGTATATTCAATAATCTACTTGAATATAAATTATTAGTTTGCAGCTCTAGCGCAAGTTTT